ACCTGGGTTCGCTGCAAGAGCACTCAGTGCTCTTAAACACTGTGACATTTCTCTAGCCTGCCATAACCCATTTTTAAATTGGGTCTATTGTTTTCTTGCTTCTTTGTTTTTTGAGTTATTTGTATATTCTGGATATTAATTCTCTGTCAGATGAATAGTTTTCTCCCAGTCTTTAGTCTTCCTCTTCACTTGTTTGATCTTTCCTTTGCTGCACATAACCTTTTTAGTTTAATAAGTTCTCATTTTTCAGTTTTTGACCTTCATTAGTGAGGAACTGATGTCTGATATATAAATTCCTTCCCTTCACCTATGTTGTGTAGTGTTCTGTTTAAGTATTCTTGTAACAGTTTCAGCATTTAAGGTTTCACATTGAGGTCTTTGATCCATTTGGAGTTGACTTTTGTCCAGAGTGAAAGATAAGGGTTAAATTTAATTCTTTTACAGATGGAGATCCAATTTTGCCAAGACCATTTTTTGAAGATGCTGTCTTTCCTCTCCTCCAGTGTGTATTCTTGGCAACTTTATCAAATGTCAGGTGGCTGTAATTGTGTGCACTCATGTTTGGGTTTTCTATTTTGTTCATTAAGCACCCAGCTAACCTGTCTCTACTTTCTCAGCAAGAAGGGGCCAGGGCCTGTCACGCCACCTCCAGTGGAGCCCACATGAGGGACTCTCCGTGGGCCGAGGCTGAGAAAACTTCAAAGGAAGAATGCTTCCTGGAGAATGGCTGTGTTAAAAAAGCATGCTGTGTCCTTGGCTGTTCTGCTTTAGTTCTTGTTTTCATTCTGTCTTTATTCCTGTTCTTTCCTCATAGAGGAACTGCTTTGTACCTACTCAGGTCATTAGGCCCACCTGAAGAGAGACTAGATATGGATGATTTCCTGGGAACTCAGTTAGTTGATATTAGACTTCCTCCAAATGCTCTTTTCTTATTTCAAACAATAAGTAGTTAAGAATAAGCAACCTTGGAAAATTCTAGATAAGTTACAGTAAGAAGAATTATTTGTATATAATCCCCTGCTTCAGTTTTTGGGGTTGACTCAAGGAGATTAAAGGGATATTGAATGAAGATTTCTGCCTTTAGTTAAGACAGACTTAGAAATTGCCTACGAGTTAGGGAAAGGTAGGCTATGGCATCCCCTTAAGGGAAAGGAGAGCATATTTAGAATCCCCGAGCCCATAGATGAACCACTTCCTCATACAAGAGTTTATAAAGGAAATAATAGATGGGTAAATATTTAAGGATGGAAAGTTTCATGGTATTTATAGTTTATGGATAGGTTAGCCAGATCCAGACGACCTTGATGCCTTTACTACAAGACAGCAGCAAAGTATATTTAAACGATTTCAGGCAGTATAAGAAACATGGATAGAAAGAATAGGAAAATAAGGGTTAGAGAAACAAGCCTTTAAAGTTATATGGAGTTATTATAACTTCACTGACCTAGTCATTGGCCTCGGCCACTGAAACCTCAAAATTGAGAAAACGGAACCATAAAATTACCAACCATGAAATTTATAAGTAGCTGATGTTGCCAAACCACTAAGGGAAAAGGACAAATAGTCTAAGCACCTGATTAATTAGATAAAAACACTGTACACTGTACTGTATTGTTAATATGGAGTTATTATAACTTCACTGACCTAGTCGTTGGCCTCGGCCACCGAAACCTCAAAATTGAGAAAACGGAACCATAAAATTACCAACCATGAAATTTATAAGTAGCTGATGTTGCCAAACCACTAAGGGAAAAGGACAAATAGTCTAAGCACCTGATTAATTAGATAAAAACACTGTACACTGTACTGTATTGTTTTGATTTTGAATTGTATTTCTAAGAAAATGATTAACCATGAAATCAACCTGATGCTTGCACAATCTTGTTCTGTAACTTGTATAAAATCTGATGCTCCACTTTAAAAAATTACATTCAGATCATCAACCATCTCTTGTGTTGTGTCTATTTGTCACTCGCCAAATCCTTGCCCACTCTCCGATTCCCCGTTCCCATCGGACTGAGTGCTCCAGTTTGGGCTGGTCCGTCGCAAGGGCCCAAGGAGAGCTGATGGGAACCTAAAAAGTATTTTATTTAATATTTTTATTTTATATGTATGAATGTTTTCCCTGCCTGTACAGCTCCCAAATCCATATAGTGCTTTCAAGGGCCAGAAGATGGCACTGGATGCCCTGGAACAGTAATACAAAACCTCTGGGCTAAAGAAAGCTCAGGCTTAGATGAACTCACTGCAGAAGTCTAGCAGACATTCAAAGATCTACAATTAATGCTCCTTAAATTTTTCAGAAAGATAGAAACAGAAGGAAAACTCCCAAACTCCTTCTATAAAGCCAGTATCACTCTAATGCCAAAACCAGGTAAAGACATAACAATAATAACAACAACAACAACAACAACAAAGAACCGATAGGCCCATATTCTTAATGAACATAAACACAAATATTCTCAATAAAATACTTGCAAAACGCCTACAGATGTACATCACAAAGGTCATCCACCATGATCAAGTCAGCTTTATTCCATATGTGCAGTGATAGTTTAATATATGTAAGTCAATAAATTTAATGAAACCTGTAATTGAACTTAAAGACAAAAACCACATGGTTGTGTGAATAGAAACAGAAAAGGCATTTGATGAAATTCAGTATGCATTCATATTAAAAGTCCGTGAGGGAACTGGACTGGAGGGAAGATACCTCAACATAATCAAAGCTATATAAACAAGCCCACATTTAACATCATTCTAAATGGAGAAAAATTGGAAGTATTTCCCTTAAAATCAGGAACCAGACAAGACTGTCCATTATCTTCATTCCTTCTCAATATAGTGTTTGAAGCTCTTGCCAGAGTAATAAACAATGTAAGGAAATTAAAGGAGTACTAATTGAAAAAGAAAAGGTCAAATTGTCACTATTTGTTGACGATATAATAACATATATAATAGATCCCCAAAATTCCAACAGAAAGCTGCCAGAAATGTTTAATACTTTCAGTAAAGTTGCAGGTTATAAAATCAACTTTCAAAAATCAGTAGCTTCACAACCGAAGTGAGAATAGGCTGGGTGTGGTGGTGTATGCCTTTAGTACCAGCACTCAGGAGGCAGAGGCAGGTGGATCTTTATGAATCAAGGTCAGCCTGGTGTACATAGTGTGTTCCAGGCCAGCTTGTCCTACAGTGAGACCCTGTCTCAAAAAGACCCAAAAAAAAACCCACCTGTAGCCTTTCTATATACCAATAACAAACAATCAGATGAAGCACTAGAGGAAACCCTCCCATTTACAATAGCCTCAAAAAATGTCTAGGAATAAACTTAACCAAAGACATTAAAGATCACTACAAGAAGATTTTAAATCTAAAAGAAGTGATATAGGAAAACACTAGGAGATGGAAGGATCTCCTGTGATATGGATTAATATTGTGAAAATGACCATTTTACCAAAAGCAATCTATAGATTCAATGCAATGCCAATGAAAAGCCACATGACCCTTTTCAAAGAGCTAGAAGAAAAGCAGCCTAAAATTTATATGGAATGAGTAAAGACCCTGGATAGACAAAACAGTTTTGAACAAAAAGAGCATTACAGGGGATCACCATACCACATCTCAAACTGTATTACAGAGATATAGTCATAAAAACAGCATGGTACTGACACAGAAGCAGACACATAGATCAATGGAATGCAATAGAAGACATAAATATGAGTGCATGCAATTTCAGCCACCTGATATTTGACAAAGGTGTCAAGAGCACACAATGCATGCATGTGTATTTGTGTGTGTTTGTGTGTGTGTGCATATATGTATGCTTGTATTGATACACATGTGTAATAGCAGGTGGATAGAGACCAGATGACACCTCCACTGTGATTCCTTGCTTCTACCTGTTTGAGGCAACATCTCTCTTGTTGTTCACTGTCATATGCAGTAGGCAAGCTAACTGAAAGCTACTGGCAGCCCTCATGTCTCTTACTCCCACTTCAAGACTGACTTTCCCAATTTATTTTATTTTACTTTGCTACCATGTCTGGCTTTTACTTGGGTTCTGGATAATCAAATTTAATTAATGTAGCTTGACTTAAATGTGCTTTACCCACTGAGCATATCCCCAACTTGTATTTTTTCTTTTTTTGTGTAGAACTTTTAAGTTGGAAAAGTGATTTCCTAAAATGTCTAAATATGATAATACTGTTGATTTTATTTTAATTTTATTTTTTTTCAATTTAAATTACTCTTTTCCCTTATGTATAACATATCTGGAAAAACATACTGTGATTTGACAAATAAATAGTGAAGGATTGTCTGTTCACATGTGGAAGGAACCCATGATCATCATCCCCTCTTACTGGAATGCACTGGAAGCGGCCCATTGTGAGACCACCTAAATTCAAGTGTAGACACAGCTACTGCCTTTTCTTCTTCTTTCCAGCTTTAGCAAACTTCTGGCAACAAAAGAGGCAACATTTTGAGATGATGGCTGTCACAGTCACCACACAGGCCAACAGGAACCCAATCAGATCCAGGGAGTGGTACTGGAACCATCTGAGGTTGTGGGCTGCCACCAGAAGGTGCTTGGCTTCTTTGTGGCACATGACATATACCACCCAGAAGATAGCTCGGTCGAGGGACTGCACTGGCTGCTCACAGCAAATTCTTGATAGTCTCATAACATTCTCCTTGTAGCTAAAGACAGGCATAAGGGAGAAATACAGACACCAACATTGGAAGTCAATTAATTTACTTAAGTTCATCCTATGAAAGGTTATTGGACAGCACTATGAAACTGAACAAATGCTGTAGAAGAGCAGTAGGCAAAGTGTCATTTTAGTTAGGACATGATAATGTGTTTGGCAGTAAGTTGGCATTTTCCGATGAAGAAATACTTTCCAGAGAACAAAAGAAAAAGCTCTTGGAAAAGTAAATAATTTCCAGCAGAGTAAGTTTTAATAAGTCATTCCTAGCACTTAAAGCAGGATAACTAAATTCAATTTAAAAATGATCTACTTGAAGATTTGGAGAGGGATTCTGCCATGCAAAATCTTTAAAATGTCAATAAAACTCCTTTCATTGATTAGAAAGGGGCAAAAGATGTGAAAACAACACCCCCTCCCCCAAAGAACATGTATGGGCTGGGAATGTAGGTCAGTGAATGGGTGTTTGCTTAGCATGTCCAAGGATCTGGATTGATTCTGAGTACTGCAAAACAGACAAACCAACCAATTAACCAACCAACCAACAAACAAACAAATAAATTCAAACCAAAACAAATCAAATGATTCCAAGGATACAGGAGAAGTGCAATTATTTTTTTTTCTTAGCTCTTAAAACTATTTATTTGTTCATTATTTTATTTTGTATGCATCTGTGTGGTGCATGTACAGGACACACAGAGGAGGTAAGAGGACAATTTGTGAAAGTTGATTCTCTCCTACTAACTGGGTCCTGGGGATCAAACTTATGTTTGGTGGCAAATGACTTTATCTGCTGAGCCATCTTGCTGGCCCTCAGACATGGAATTATTACTGGCCTTTGGTTGGAGTTTAATTTAGGGCAGAGAGTAAGAAAAAGAGCAAGGAGTTTGCTGAAGAAACTGAAAACAGAATTTTCCTAGGTTTTTGCTTTCCTAGCAGTTTCTTCAATGAAGTAGCAAACAATATATCAAAGGAATACTTGCAGTTCTATATATTTTGCAGGACTTGCCATGATAGCTAAGAATGGCAACTGACTACAGTGACCATTGTAGGATGATGGATAAAGAATATGTGCTATGAAAACAGTAAGTGATGTTATTCCATCATTTACAATTGCAAGGATGGAACTGGAAGATATTTTGTTAAGTCAAAAAAAAATAGGCCCATCAAGAAAAACATTGCACATTCACATTAATATGTGGAATGAAATAGAGTTTTCTTCACAGGAGTCATCAGTAGAACAGTGGAACTAGAGTCTGGGAAGGGGAGGAGTAAGTAGGGACATGAAAGGTGGGCTATCAGGTACCATGCTGCAGTTGGATAGCAGAGAAAGCATTCTATAGTACAGATAGTGAGTATGCTTTACAACATGTACATTGATCTATCTATTTATATAATGAAGTTCTAGAGCAGGGGGCTTTCAAGATTGCTAACAAAAGAAGCTATGGATGGTGGAGGAAATGGAAAATGTATCTATTCTGGTTTGGTCATTACTTATTATACACATGCATCTATTTAGCCAATAAATATGGATTATTTTGACAAGGAACAGTAGTTTCAGAAATTTTAGACATTGAGTTGGAGTATTTTATATTTTTTAAGCTTCATTGTTCTGGTCTATGGATTTGGTTGAATTTTTAAAAATTGCTAATCTTTCCTTTAGTAATTTAGAAAAATTCTTTTTGGCATCATATTATTCTTCTAACAACTACTTGTGTAGTAAGTATATAGGGGACACTTTTCAGTCCTGATTAGGAATAAAACTAATTTCACAGTGATTAAACCATTATAATTTTTTTTAAGTTAGACTCAAAATTGCATGAAATCTACTGTTATCATTAAGAGGGGATATATGTTTAGTACTACTTATCTGAAAAGCATTCTATTCACGAGGGATCATTGATGACTGTCTTTACTGCATTGAGAAGATATGTACTTGACATTGTGAGGAAGTCCACTCTAACATCTGCTCTTTTGGTCTTCATGCGAACAACATTATCAGGTTGATCTGCAAACAAGGGAATGACAACCACAGGTATTCCATGGTAGATTGCCTCATAGATGCCATTGGTTCCACCATGACTTATAAAAACTTTGGTTTTTGGATGACCTAGCATTGGGAGAAACCAGGGAAAATATTAATTATGTCTTAAAAATAAACTGAGAAAGAGAGAATAAAATGCAGTGAATTATGAACTTCATTCTAGATAACAAGTTACTATAATCATACAATATCATGGAAGAGTCTAGAGTTATAGATCAATGTTTAAGAACACTGAATGCTTTTATAAAGGACTGGGGTTTGGTTTCCAGCACTGACAGGACAGCTAACACCTACCCTTAACTCCAGTTTCAGGGAATCCTATGATATCTTCCAGATTTTGTGGGCAATGTATGCATGTGGTTCACATACATACATGCTGGCAAAACCACAATACAAAATAAAATAAAAATCACTTAATTAAAAAAAAAAAAGATACCTGAAAAAAAAAGAAAAAAATGGAAAACATAAGTCTTCTCAGGATTAAATGAAGGGCACACGATAAAAGATAGAAATGAGTTGGTGCAAAGGACAAAGAGGCCAGAGCACATCCCAAGTAGAGCAAACAGCATCTTTAAATATAGGCGGGGACAGGAGAATATGGTCTCCTGAAGAATTAGTGAAGTCACCTCACTATATGTGTGGTATATCAGCTCCAATTATCCAGGAGTGGGGTGTTCATGAGTTCAGTTAGAATGCAACATTTTTTTTGGCATGTTAAATAATAATCATTTAGTAATAAAAGAATGTCACTTTCATTGTCATTTGAATTGAATGGCCCTACATTAATGAAAGGATACATATAAAATTATAGTAATAGGAGGTAGAGAGAAAAACAAAGAAGTGACTGAAAATTTATCTGAAATGTAATTAAAGTTGAAATAAAAATGGAAGCTTGTCCCATTAAATGTTACAGGGTAGAATAGAATGTCATCATTTATTATTCATCCATTTTTCCTGGGACTAGAACACAATCTTCATAAACACAATTTCCATTGACCTCTTGTGTTCCTCAGTGGCTATTCCTCGTGTTTCAGGGGTTTTCTCTTGAGCCTTACCAAAAAGGTCATTCTGTGGGATCCACGGGTAGAGTCGAGTATTGGAGCCCAGGCTCTCTGGCTTCTTCCCTTCAAATCACCATAGAATCTGTTAAGGTAAAGCTAGACCTTAAATATGTGAGTTAAATTTCAAACTATCATTTTGGAATTCTAAAGAGATTAAGAAATAATGGAGTTAAACACTTACTATCTGAGGTTTTCCCAGGCCAGACATTCAACACTAATGTTTCATAAGCAGTAACTTAGGCAAAGGAGTTGATCAGTATTACATTGGTGATTTAAGCAATTTGTGATTATAATTCTAGTATAATAACCTACCAGAGTTACTAATGACCTACACCTTTTTATTCTCAATCTACAGGAGTTTGTGTCTTAAAAAGTCAGTATCAATATTTTTGAATTATATTGATGTAGTTTACTTATAACATGCTTATCATAAGTTATTTTATTAGCATTTGACCCTTCTGATTCCACACTTTCTAAGGCACATGGTTCACTTGAGTAAGCTCATGACTCCATCAATTCTCTTACATTTCCCTATTCTAACATACACACCCACTGTGGGTTAGTTTTTCTTCCACCAAGACTGGTTGGTTTGGTGAACTTGAGACTGGTGAGCTCTGGCATACTTTTTTTAATAGCACCTAAAACAGCACTTAATAAGTCTATTTCAAAATGTAGTAGAATAGATGGGAAAGATTAGACATGAATGTCACTGTGAAAGAACTCCACCCTTTGAATAGCTAGCTTATTGTTACTGGGCCAGCACAAGTACTGGCTAGAATTTAACTGCAGTCATTACATTTTAGTGTGTGCAAAGTCCTCAGTAATTTTCTGAGGATAAGGAGGATGTAAGAGGGTAGATTTTTCTGTATCTGCCTATAATACTATTGTAACACAAAGTTCACACTACACTCCTTAGGAGCATTTCTTACTGCGCTAAAGTTATTAATCAAAATTTTCCTTACTTTGGCTTTGGTAGGCTAAGGCTGAGATCCTAGCAGACAGCCAGAGAGGTTGGGTTCGGACCTCTATCACTGTAGCAGCTCTGATCTCAGCAAACTGCCATAGAGTTCCAAGTTCTGGCCTCTGTCTGGCCTCCCTCTGGCATAGGAGCTGAGAACTCAGGGGACTGCTTGAGAGCACATGGATCCTGCCTCCACATGTTGAAGGAAGCCTGAGTGTACCTGACTGGAACTTTAATTGGGCTTCTGTGGGTACTTCTGAATAGCTGATCTGAAGCTATCAGTTCCCTCAAAATTAAACCTCAGAGAACCTGAACCCTGTACCAACCAGCTTTACATAATCAATAAAGTATCTAGGCACCCAGATAATACAAGCTGAAGCATACTTCAATTTAATTCTCTGCCAGTGCCAGCCAGCCTTAGATGAACAGCACCTGAAAGGGGGAGTGATGATTGAAAGAAGAACAAGAGAGACAGAAAAGATGCTTGGGAGGACTGTCAGTAGAGACTGCAGCCCCGGTTTATTTTAGCTCAGCCTTCTTATACAGCAGAACATCAGATAACCAGTTTACTTAGCTCTATTAGCACTTCAACAGCTCTTTTTTACCACCTTTATCTGAGGGTCAAGGAATGGTCAAATACTTGTAGTGAATTGACAGAACAATTCAGTGCTTGTGTGTAAAACACAAACTCTTGAGTCAAGGTGAAAGGTCATAAAGTAAATAAGCAAGCCTGCCACAGCTTGATGGACATAATGGCTGTGCTTACATTAATAGCTCCCAACATCTCCCCCTCTTTTTTTTTTTTTTAAAAAAAGAAAACCCCAGATTATGCTATATCCAGGACAGAAGGACCATGCCTGTCTTAGGTCGTCTTCTGCCAGAGCAAAGCCTTACCCGTCATCGGCACGTAGCTTCCATCAGCTACGCCCTGCCTTAGGTTGACTTTCTCCCAGAAGATCTTACCCGTGTTTGACTACCAGCCTCTGTTAGGGGAGGGAGCGCAATCTCATATCATGCACGGATTTCATAAATAACTTTACTGCCACCAGTTGAAAACAAAGACATAGGAGGAAAAGCATGCCAAGTCCTGCTAAACCACTCACAATGGACATGATAGAAGACCACGATGGTAAGGTGGCTCTCAGCTTTTTTAGAATATCTGCCGCTGCTTACAGGGTGGAAATGCTTATGGAGAAAATTTTCCCTCTATAATCTCTTGGCAGTAGCACTTTGGCATTGGTACAGCATCCACCTTGCCCCACAAGCACATGGTCATCTACTTGTACACAGACATTATCATTTTTAACAAAACAAATAGGCAACCAGCTTTCTGATCCTGAATGATTAAAATCCATCACCATTTGCATCATCAGGTGTTTTGAAGCAGGCTGAACAATTAACCAGAGTCATTCACAGTCACTACTATCTCTTTTTCTTCCTGTGGGGACTCAGGTTTGCTTTGCTTAGCTGGGGACCTGCTTGCTTCAGGGCAGAGGGTCTGATCAGCGACAGAGTCATAAATTCTGGGATCTGTGTCTTCCCAACAGGACATTTAGCCTGTTAGCTGGTGCCAGAAGGATTCTTAAACTTTTACTCAAGGTTATCAATGCCCATTCAGTAATTTATTGGCCACAATGTTTTCTTTCTTAGAACTAAAAGCATGGTAAACTTTTAGCTTTTAGCTCAGGAGTAAACCTTTAACCTGGCCTAATCTCTTAGCCAGGGATAGCTGAGTTATTTGTTTAGGACAAGGAGATGAGCTAAGGGTTGTTGATCAAGACGCTTTCCCACAGAGCAGGGAGCCTGCACTTTTATGAATGGGCCGCTTCCTCCTGCCAGCCTAGCAGTGTTCTGCAGGACAAGGATTATCAGAGCCACTGTTTTCAGTGCCCCTCCCTTTAGCAGAGGATGCAGCCTGGATGTAAAAGTTTTAGGGTCACCTCATCCCAGGGCCTGGCATCCTAGTTTCCTACACATAGAGATCAAGAGTCTGCTGAATGATGGTTCTTAGACAGGAATTCTTTATTAAAATTTACCCACCCAAGACTCAGGGACCATCATGGAAAAGGGGGAAGAAAGACTGTAAGAGACAGGGAGGAAGTACACGACCATATTGAAATAGAGTCCTACAAGCTCTGGGAACCTGCTCATATGATTCTATGGGAATGGTGTTGGCATACACAAGTCTCATGCAAACTCAGGCAGACAAAAACCCAGCAAAAAACTAGGAAAGTGGCTCTTTCCTGGGTAAGTCCAGCAGCACCCACTGTGCTTTTACTCCCCCAGCCTCATTCACGCTCCCAGCTCCCTGGCCCCATCTCGCCTCCTAGCCTGGGTACTGGGCCATTTCTTGTCTTGGCACCCTAGATGCTAGGGTTGAACTCTAGGCTCAGAGCCACCACTCCTTCCTGATCCTTTGCATCCAGAACAAAGCTGTTCCTCCCTGCAGTCCCCAGGAGCCTTTGGGGCCTCTTCTTGTCCTCACCTCACTTTGCATTCCTGGGTGGCATGGCCACCAGCTACCTGAGACCAGAATCTTTCCTGGACCCTGCTCCCAGGCCCATCCAACCCCCAAATTCCTGAGGACAACATCTTTCCTGGAGGGATCCAGAACTTAGGAGAAACCCTGAGAGCATCTGATCCTCATCAGACTTGAGCCTCTGTGAGAACTCCTGAACAAGAAAGCAATTTGGCCACTCCAATATAAAATCAAAAGAGAGAACTGGAAGCCTAGACAAACCAGCTTTTCGGCATCATTCATCAGGTTCTTAATCATTCCCCAGGTCACAGGAGGCTGCGTCTTCCTCTGGCAGCCTCTCCTTTTCTGCTTCTCCAGGGTCAGTGCAGCCATTTTTGCGGTGGGGGCTTCAGTTGAATGGTCTGACATATTTGAGCAGCGCCCATGGGGGTGGGAGGGGTTCCTTTTCTGTAAAGACACAAGCATACCCTCGCCCCATTGTTAGTAAAGGAGCTGGAGTTTTACTCCCTGCCAGTGCTTGGCCATTGGAGAAATTCCTTGATTATTTAGTGTAAAAAAATTTAAAGTTAGTAGAGACCCATATAATAGGAAATGTGGATACTGTACTAGTCTCCCAGGTATAGGTGATTCCCCCATTTTTTATTTTTTTATTATTTGATCTTTGAGGCATTTGTGTTATCTCTCCATTATTGCTTGTCCTGTGGGGTTGAAAGGAATGGCAGTGGTATGTTAAATAGGGAACAAACTGTTTTAGGTTAATTTAATAATTTTAGTTTGCATGAGGCTTTACTTTTAAGTTAAATTGATACCACGTAAATTATTTTTAAGGAATATGGGTTTATATAGACCATGTACTGATAAAATGGACATTTTAAAACCTTTCGAGACTAAACCAGAACCAAAAGGATACTTAGTAAATAGTATTTTTATATAACTAGAGACTTAGAGACATTGTTTAATAGATTTTAAAATTGATTAGGGTACCCAATTAAAAGGCCTTTGAATGTAAATTTGTATCTGTGCATTTTAATTACGCATGCCAAAAATAAAACCAATAATTTTGTGTACAATAAAAAGAATGAAAAAAGAAAAATTTGAAGTGACAATATTTTAAAATTGTCTTGACACAAATGATATATGAGGACAATTATCATAGACACATATGACATAATTATGTGATATCTCAACACATAGAAACATATAGAAACATGTGACATAATTTTAAACAACAAAAAGAATTATCAGACATCTATGATGACATAATTACATGAAACTAGGTGCATCTTGTTAGGGTTCAGATCCACAGCAGCCCTGCCCTGTCACCTACAGGGCCTCAGGTTCTACAAGCCCCTGAGATAAGTACCCTGGTCTGTGAAGTCAAAAGCAGACTTCTTAATAAGATAAAACTCGAAGGTTGGTTTTTTAGAAAGCAGAAAACCTGGAAATGAATTTGTAGGGAGTGGAAAAACTTAAAACAACATTTTATTTTATTTTATTTTTTTAAATAAAGGCAACAGACATCTGAACGAAATAAAGCTAACAGGAATAGAATTGGAAGGGACACGAAAAACGAATGAAATTCAGGTGTTAGGAATCAAACCTAGGTCCTTTGGAAGAGCAAACTATGCTCTTAACCATTAAGACATTTCTCCAGCTGGAATTAGAGAAGAACAATCTCCAGATGACCATAGAGCTCACAGTAGGGAAGCTATAGGTAAACAGAGCCTTTGTTTTTGGCCAAGCCTGCTTTTTGGCTTTTTGAAGGAACTGTGTGTTAGCAAAGGCAGAGTAGAAAAAAAAGCTGTAGGGGGTCCAGACAACTGTCAAGCTGCTTAAATGGCACGGGTGCACGAGACCAGACCCTGTGGCCCTGCTGATCGACTTGCTCCAAAACTGGAAAGACTTGGAATCCATGCACTGACTCTCCTTGCTCTACCGCAGCCCCAGTAGCCTGCTGTAGCGGAGATTGCATAGTTTTGAGCGGATACCAGACTCCTGACAGGGGCTCCTGAACCATGTCAATCATGGGAGGTGCAACAACCTTCATTGGCCTCGGAGGAGAAGTATCTAATCCTGCTATAATAGAGGGTGTTGGGGTGCTCCTAGTTCTTTTCTCTTTGTTATTTAACATTTCCTTCTTCAAAGCCTCTAACTCAGCCCTTAACTGCTCAATTTCCCAGTGATAGTTAGGCTTCTCAGACAAAGCAATTAGAGGTGGATGTTTTTCCTGATCATACTTAACCACCTCCTCTCCTAGGGCAGGCTCATCTTCAGGGTTAAGAGATCCCTCTTCTAGCCCCAGATGGGGGTGTTCATAAGAGGGTGGCAAGGCTAATGGAGCCAGCTCTGGCGGAGCGGAAAGTTTGGTTTCACTTATCAGAGTCTCCTCTTTAGTCTCAGCGAATATTCCTTCCTTTGCCTTTTCCACCTCGTGCCGCGGATCAAGACTATCTCTAACCAAAGCCCACAATGTAAAAGCATCTATGGGAACTTTGGAAGGACCCTCCATGTCATAGTAATCCTGCATTTTCTCTCTAACATGTAGCCACACATCTAAACTCACTGTACCTTGTTCAGGAAACCAAGGACAAACCTTTTCTACAAAGTCTAAAAAATTTACAAGTTGCTTACGTTCCACTTTTGCTCCTTGGGCCCGGAGCAAGATAAATACTCACCACTTCCCAATCTTACCGAGTGCACTCATTTAACTTCTCCAGTGGTGTCCTTCACTTTTTCCCCTACTTTTCAGGTCCCTGTTCAAGGCGCCACTTGCTGGTGCCAGCCGGCCTTAGATGAAGAGCACCTAAAAGGGGGAGTGAGGATTGAAAGAAAAACAAGAGCGACAGAAAAGATGCTTGGGAGGACTGTCAGTAGAGACTGTAGCCCCAGTTTATTTTAGCTCAGCCTTCTTATACAGCAGAACATCAGATAACCATAGTTTACTTAGCTCAATTAGCTTCAACAGCTCTTTTTTACCACCTTTATCTGAGGGTTAAGGAATGGTCAAATACTTGTAGTGAATTCCACCAATTAACCATCTTCCCTAAATTATCAGCACATTCCTCCTGACTTGACAGGACAATTCAGTGCTTGTGTGTAAAACACAAACTCTTGAGTCAAGGTGAAAGGTCATAAAGTAAATAAGCAAGCCTGCCACAGCTTGATGGATATAATGGCTGTGCTTACATTAATAGCTCCCAACAATTCTCATATCAGAATCATAAGTAACAAAAGAAATTCACATGCCCAAATCGTAACAAAACAATCACAAAATGGAAAGCCAAAACATTATGTTCCACCAAACTCCTCCAAGGCTGTAGAAGAGATCTGCAAGGAGAACACCCTAGAGATAACCCAGGACACTGAATTTAAAAGAACAATCCTAAACATGATCAAGGAATTCAATGAATTTAAAGAACACATGAACAAACAAATCAAAGAACTAAAAGAAGATAGGGATAAACTTATGAATGAATTCACAAAAGATAGAAACATTGAAGAAAACTCAAGCAGAGATGAAGAAGGAAGTGCAAAACACAATAAGCCAACTGAAAACAACAGGGGAAAGTCTCACCACTAGAGTGAATGAAATGGAAAACAGAATATCAACACTGGTTGATAAAGATGAAGAATGAAAACTCAAGCAAAGATTGTGGAAAATTTAAAAGACACCAGAATGGAATATGCAAGAGATGTGGGAGGTCATGCAAAGACCAAATCTACAGATCATAGGAATAGAGGAAGGAGAAGAATTTCAGATTAATTATATTGACCAGATTTTAAACAGGAATGTAGAAGAGAATTTTCAGAAATTAAGGAAAAACATCCCCAGACAAATACAGAAAGCACACAGCACACCAAATAGACAGGATCAGAAAAGAAACTCCCAATGAAATATCATAGTAAAAACAGTAAATGTACAGAAAAAAGAGAGAATACTGAAAGCAGCAATTCATACACAAAGGAACACACATCAGAATTACAGCTGATTTATCAATGCAAACTATGAAAGCCAGAAAATCCTGGACCAATGTATTTCCAGTTCTACATGAGAATAGATGCCAGCCCAGAGTACTTTACCCAGGAAAAATGTCTATTATAGTTGAGGGGGAATGAAAAATCTGCCACAACATGAATAGCCTGAGAGAATACATGTCCACCAAACCAGCCCTTCAAAGAATACTTGAAGCAATACAGAGAGCAGAGAGAGAACAACCATACCCCAGGGGCAACAAAAGAAAATAAATAAAGATATAAGTGAGAAACACAAAATTAGATAGAGAACATAAACAGCAATCTGAATGTTGGCAACCAATACACACTTTTCAATAATAACCTTAAATATCAATGCATTGAACTCCCCAGTCAAAAGATACAGGTTAAGTGAATGGATTAAGAAACAAAATCCATCTCTTTGCTGTCTGCAAGAAACCTATCTCAATTTCAAGGACAAGCACTACCTTAAGGTAAAAGGATGGAATAGAATATTCCAAGGAAATGGCACTAAGAAACAAGCAGGAGTTGCAATTCTAATATCTGACAAAATAGACTTCAAAGTAGAACTAATCAGAAAAGATAAGGAAGGTCACTTCATTTCAATCAAAGGAACAGTTAACCAAGAAGATATTACAATCCTTAATATATATGCACCAAACTCTGGTGCACCAAAATTCATAAAAACAACACTACAGGACTTCAAGACACAGATTAACTCCTACTCAGTAAGAGTAGGGGACTTCAATACCCCACTGTCTCCATTAGACAGATCAACAGGACAAAGAATAAACAAAGAGATGTCTGAAATAAATGATACCATACATCAAATGGACCTAACAGACATCTTTCAAATACTGCTCCCAAGCACAAAATAATATAATTTGTACTCAGCATCTCATGGAACTTTTTCAAAAATCGACCAGATACTGGGCCACAAAACATACCTCCACAAATACAAAACAAATTGAAATAATTCCATGCCTTCTATTGGACCACAAAGCAATAAAGCTCAAAATCAAAACTGGACAAAGCTCTAGTCACTACAAAAACTCACAGCAATTGAACAACACACTCCTAAACAATGAGCGGGTCAAAGGAGAAATTAACAAAGAAGTAAAAGAATTCCTGGAATTCAATGATAAGGACAATACAACAAAACAGAACTCTGGGACACATTAAAAGCAGTCCTAAGAGTGAAGTTTATAGCTCTAAGGGCCTACATTAAAAAATTAGAAAGAGCCCAATAAATGAATTAACACTGCAACTCGAGATACTGAAAAGGCAAGAACAAATGAAACCCAAACCCAGCAGAAGAGAATAAATAACAAAAATCAGAGTAGAAATTAATGAAATAGAAACAAAGAAAACAAGACAAAGTATCAATGAATCTAAGAGCTCATTCTTTGAAAAGCTAAACAAGATAGGCAAAACCCTAGCCCAGTTTAGCAAAAGAAAGACCCAAACCCCAATCAACAAAATGGGATGAAAATGGAAACATCATAAAAATCATCCAAAAGATCCACACCATTAAGGGATTATTTTAAAAACCTATATGCTGCTAAATTTGAAAATCTAAAAAAAAAAAAATGGATGGATATCTAAAATCATGCGAACCACCAAAGTTAAACCGAGATCAATAGTTTAAACAGGCCCATAACATATAAGGAAATTGAAATGGTAGTACAAAGCCTCCCAAATAAAAAAAGCATTCTAAGTGGAGAAAAACTGGAAGCATTCCCATTAAAATCAGGAACGTTGCCTGGAGGGATAGCACCGCCGTGAAAAACTAACACTAACAACCAAAACGTAAAATCAGGTACGTGACAAGAATCTCCACTATCCCCACTCCTTCTCAACACAGTGCTTGAAACTCTTGTTAGAGCGGCAAGACAGGGGAAGGAAATGAAAGGGGTACTAATTGGAAAGGAAGAGGTCAAAGTATTGCTTTTTGCAGATGATTTGATACTATACCTAGGAATTCCCAAAAATTCCACCAGAAAACTCCTAGAACTTATCAACACTTTCAGTATATTGGCAAGTTATAAAATCAATCTTCAAAAATCAGTTGCCTTTCTAAATACCAATAACAAGCAATTGGAGAAAGAATACCAGCAAATGCTCCCATTCGGTTTTGCTGAAAAAAAGAGAAAGTCTTGTAATAAATCTGACCAAAGACACCAAAGATCTCAACAAAAAGTTAAAATTGTTAAAGAAAGTGATTGAGAAAGAACCAGGAGATGGAAGGACCTCTCATGCACATGGATTGGAAGAATTAATATTGTGAAAATGAGCATCCTACCAAAAACAATACATAGATTCAATGCAATCCCAATCAAAAATCTCCATGACATACTTCACAGAATTAGACAAATAAATCCTTAAATTCATACGGAAGCATAAAAGATCCAGGATATCCAAAGCTACCATGATCACAAAGAGCAATGCTCAGAGAATTATTATACCAGATCAAAAAGTATGCTACAGAGCTATAGTCATAAAAACAGCATGGTATGGGTACAAAAAGAGACACATGGATCAATGTAACATCATTGAAGATCCAAACTTGAGTACACACAATTTCAGTCACCCAATATTTGTCAAAGGTGCCAAGAACACACAATGGAGGAAAGACAGCACCTTCAACAAATTGTGCTGGCAAAACTAGATCTCCACCTGTAGAAGAATGAAACTAGATCCTTATCTTTTACCTTGCACAAAAGTCACCTCCAAATGGATCAAAGACCTCAATATGAAACTGGATACCCTGAAACTATTAGAAGAAAATATTGGCAGTAACTTACAAGATATAGGTATAGGAAAGAATTTTCTAAATCAGACGGAAGTTGCTCAGGAATTAAGGTCAGCAATCAACAAGTGGGACCTCATCAAACTAAAAAGCTTCTGTACAGCAAAAGAAACCATCAAAAAATTGAAGAGAAAACCCACAGAATGGGAAAAAAAACTTCTCCAGTGAAACATCTGACAGAGGTTTAACATCCAGAATATATAAGGAGCTCAAAAAACAAAGAATCAAGAAACCAAATTACCCAAAGAAAATATGGGCTAAATATCTATACAGAGAGTTCTTAAAGGAAGAAATGAGATGGCTAAGAAACATCTCAAAAGTGTTCAACATCGTTAGTAATTACAGAAATGCACATTAAAACCACCCTAAGGTATCACTTTACCGCAATCAGACTGGCTAGGATCAATAGAACTAATGATACCAAATGCTGGTGGGGATGTGGAGAAAAGGGAACACTCATTCACTGTTGGTCAGATTGCAAACTCGTGCAATCTCTATGGAAAAGTGTGGTGAACTTTTAAAAGCTAAAAATGAATATACCATATGATCCAGTTATAGCACTCCTTGGCATATACCCAAAGGACTCATCCTATTGTAGAGACACTTGTACAACCATATTTGTTGCTCTTTTCACAATAGCTAAGAGATGGAAGCAACCTAAGTGCCCCTCAATTGACAAGTGGTTAAGAAAAATATGGTATATTTACACAATGGAGTTCTACTCAGCATTAAAAAAAAAAAAGATGAAATAATGAAATTTGCAGGTAAATGATGGATCTAGAAACTGTTATACTAAGTGAAGTAATACAGACTCAGAAAAACAAATGACGTATGTTCTCCCTCATATGTGGATCCCAGCGCCAAATCTTTTTAAATTCCAGGTCCTTTTAATAAGATGATGCTATATAGCAGTTCCTTCTGCATGAAATATCTACCACCATCATGACTTCAGCTGAGCCTGATCGCTAAACATAGTCACAATTGGGCTTGTTGACGGTTGCTCTCATTCATTAAAGGAGGGCCAAGCAGGATCATTGGACCTCACTGCATTATCCAGCCCTCTTCCCAGCCAATTGTATTTAATTTGGCCCTAATCACACATGGCATCCTGGATTTGGGGAAGGCTAAAGTATACAACCTGGGGAAGGGTAGTAAAAGAAGGCATGACCCATATTAGGTAAAGGCTTTCCAGTGTTCCTACACTCAGGTCATACATATTCCTCAGCAACCCCTCAGTTATCTCAGCATTTAAGCTCAATAAATTCATTGGCTCCCCAGTAAAACTTTATTCAAACATTGACTTGACATTAGAACCTTAAAAGGGACTAAGCATTGCTCACATTCCCAGGAATGGAAGTCTCACAAGAGATGGAAAATTTATTTGTTAATACTATTATGTCTCATAATTATTTTTAAAAAAAGAAAATGAGATTGTAAAAGATGTTAAAAGGATTTGGTAATGGAGTTATTTTCCAAAATAGAAAAAATGAGAAAGCCTAATCAAGTGATGAATGTCTCTTTAGGTTTGTTATGCTATATAAAGGATGAGACAAAAATAATATACACATAATCTTAAAATTTTTATGGTCATAGATTAGCCAACTAGTTTAAGGAACAAAATATATAAGTAGTCAAGGTTTATATGAGAATATTTGGTTTTTTACCCAAGCCTTATCTACATAGTACATCATAATTAAAAGTACCAGAGAGGTGGAATTAACCTTATTGGATGTTTAACAGTCATAATTTGAGGCCTATACTAATGTGGTCAGAGGGATTTAAAGGACAGTTTTTAGTCCCTTGCCCTCTGAAGTTGACTAAGTTCCAGGGGACTATGGAACATCTCACAAAATGTTCTGTAACTGTGGTGAGTCGCCTGTCCTCCTGTTCAGGGAGGACATGGAGACCCCATGAGAAGGACTTGAACCTACTCAGAGGTAACATCTCATTCATGCTTCCAAGCGAAGCCAGACATGGTCGAACAGGACCTTTGACTTATCTTCACATAGATGGAATTTGTAAAAGAAAGGAGCCAGGAGCTCATCCCAAGCCCATGTGACCCCTGATTAACAGATCTTCAAACGACCTTAAATGTAAGATAAATTGATTTATTTGGGCCAACTATATTGTCTTAAACACCCAAAAGCAAAGTATATCCAGAGAGTAAAATCGTCAGTATATTTCTTTAAGAGTTCAAGGGATTACACTTCTTAGACATTAGGCTTAAGTCTATATAAAAAGTTATTTAGACAACTATTTCCCATTGATGATTTTCTTCCTAACCAGAAAGTGCTAATCAGAAGTAAGAATTCAGATCTTGGTCTCCAATACCATAGTGCCCATCTGTACCTAAGGGAGACAACCAGCTTTTGTTCTAAAATGATGCATAAATTTGTTTCTTCCCCCTATATAGAAGCCTTCGAGAGGGAACTGACACTGATTCTAACCACTCCAACAGCTATCAAAATACCAGAAAGCAATTCCTGAGACCATTCCTCTCGAGGTCCAGCCTTGGAAGACAGAAGAAAAATGAGTAGAAACCCAATCGAGGGATGCTTTTGGAAGCCCTTGTCAATAAATTCCAATGAATTCATATGAATATTTGAAAATTACCCTGTTCTGACTTTTTTTCTAGTTCTCTCACTAGAACTTGTAATGCTAATTACTCTTGACTTTACTTCTCCTTCACATCTTCTATTCACAATTCAAGTACTTTCTTTTCCCTTTAGTGATAAGAGTTACACAATTTGGGAGTGTTTTAGATAGACCCGCTGAAGGGGTACTACAATTCCCTCACCCTGTGTCCCTGTTCAGCATCAAAGAAACCAGAGCAGTCTGGCAATTTGGGTAACCACTTTAGAGGATTGTGTGATAAGAATAGGAGGTAGGAATTGGCTAGGCAGTTAGGGTAAAAAGACCCAAAAGAAAAGTAGCCAGCTTCATGCCTAAAGTCAAAATGCCCTTGGGCCTCTTAGCAACATACACTGTTCCAAAGGCCAAAAATGTTGAAAGTGTTTGAGAGTTTGGAGACCCTGTCTCAAAAAGACCAAAAAAAAAAAAAAAGCAGAAGAAAGATTTTAGAGTTAACCCCTTCAGAGGGGGGAATGTTAGAGTAGTGAAAAACCCCATAAAAAATAAATGAGTAAATCAAAGAAGAAAAAAATACTTCTTTATTTCAGCATCTGTTGTATATATTTTTGTCTTAAAAATGATTTCTGTGATAATCTACCAATATCATGGTAGTTTAAGTTTCACACAGGAAGTTTCTGGAATCAGGCCTATCATACCATGTAAGGGATTCAGGAAGCAGTGATGTGATGAGGCACTCCACCTCACCTTTTGTGGAATCTGGGCAAGGGCTGCTGCAATCACATTGGCCCTGTCTTCTGTCAGGTTGCCAACCATCGACCCCAGAGAAAACACCACAACACCATGTTCTCCAGAGCTCTGGACAAAGTCTTCCATCTCCTGTGAAGGAAACATTGATCCATCACAAAATAGCAGTAGCACCACAAAGTCTGTTGTAAGGATTGGTACAAATGTCCAAGGAAGAAAGTTGAGTGTTATTAGAAATCATTAGTGTGGCTTTCCTGAGAATTGCTGTTGTATACATAATATAAAACATGCAATTGTTAACATTTGTAAGCCTTACAGTTCATTGGTATTACATGAATGCACTTATTCTTTTACAAAAAATTAAGGTTTCATTTCAAAAAATTAAGTTTATATAAATTAATCTCAAAAGTCTATCATCTTGAAAAAAAATGAGCAATTCTTTAATCACCAAATCTATTTTTTTTCATTCCATGGTCCTTTGACTACTATACGTCTTTCTGTGTCCATAAGTTTGATTGTTCTAGATAGTTCATGTACTATTTGTCTCTCTTTCACTGGCAGGTTTTACTTAGTGTAATGTCATTAAGGTCCTGCACTGTGTGTATTCTTTGTAAGAACCCTGTGTTCCTATTTCAAAGTTTTAAAGGCTTAGAGATAATTTTTTGTGTTCCCATACTACATATTACTTATCAACAGATCTATTAATTAATACCTGGGTTGCTACTACATTTTCCTTTTCAGGAGCAGAGCTTCTCTGATTAGCCTTGAACAAATATCTCTCTGAGGTCCTTTAGTAACTTCTATTGTATTTATACACAGAAGTAGAACTGATGGGCCATAAATGTATTTTGTTAGAAACTTCCATATTCTTTTCCATAGTGCTTGTTGTTAAATAGTTTTTCTGGAAGGACATTTCATGTGTGATATCAATTTCTTTTACTGTGTCTGCATGTGAAAATGTGTCTATATATAGATGTGTCAATAGGAGTACATTTCTATTCATATGTTTGATAAAGTAAAGACAGCCATTGTACACATGTGAAAATGATTTTCTCCTTGACCAAATTTGTCAGTCTTCTCAGAAATCACTTTGTTTGCAGGACCTGGCTTATGGATGTCCTCCCTGTATTTAGTGTTCAACTGTTCTTTGAAGACTCAAATTTAACAAACAGCCCTTTAGTAACATCTTGTTAAATTAGTGCAATTCAAATGCCAACATTGGTTATGATCATCCTTCCTGTATTTTTTACATCCCTCACAGTCCTGCACAGGTGAAATCACATCCTTCGTATCCTGAATAACTTTCTTTCTATAACTGTTATGGTATTACACCTCAAAGTTGGTTATATGCATTACTAGTGTTCTGAAGCTCTATTGTGGGCCAATACATGTGGATTTTTGACTCTGTAATCTTTACTCATGATTGGAGCTTGGATTTCAGTTGTTTAGTCAAATTCCTGTACCAGTGCTTTGTAAAATATCTACTGATGCCAGAAGAGACCATTTTGTTTGTTAAACATCTCATTTTCTTCTATTAGTTGAATTAAAACTTAAAAAAAAACAGAGATCAGTTTCCTAGATCTCTCTCTCTCTCTCTCTCTCTCTCTCTCTCTCTCTCTCTCTGAGACAGGGTCTTCCTGTAGCCTTAGCTGGCCTGGAACTTGCTTTGTAGATCAGGTGGGCCTACAACTCACAGAGATCTGCTAACCTCTTCCTCCCTAGTACTGGACATGTGTCACCACGCCTGATTAGATGTTCCTGTTTTAATGGGCTGGATTAGATTCTCTGGCAAGCAGTATCTGGTTATTGTTGTAGACTTCTTTAATTGAAAGGTACCTGCTTGTTGGAAATCTTACAATTTCTACAATGTGAATTATTCCCTGTCCTTTAGATGGTAAAAATTATTTTGGTATTTTGAGTTTGATCTGTTACTTCTTTCTTGGAAACATTGTTTAAAAGAAAACTCTTTTTCAATCCCTTGTTGAAATACTTTGGAACTTCATGGCTACTTAAGAAAACTTAAAGTTTTCCTAAACCTGCTGTGTGGACTATCTTCTTACCGCCTCTACTTCTTCCTTTTCCTTTTCTTCTTCCTCTTCCCTCTTTCTTTCTTTCTTTCTTTCTTTCTTTCTTTCTTTCTTTCTTTCTTTCTTTCTTTCTTTCTTTCTCTCTCTCTTTCTCTTTCTTTCCTTCTTTCTTTTGTTCTTTCTTTCTTTCTTTCTCTTTCTTTCTTTCTTTCTTTCTTTCTTTCTTTCTTTCTTCTTTCTTTCTTTCTTTCTTTCTTCTTTCTTTCTTCTTTTCCACCCCTTCATTCCTACTTAAAAAAATATTTTTCATGTGTCTGTATGTGTTTGTATAGTGCCAATGGAAGCCAGAAGAGGGTGTCAGCTATTAAGTGATGACCCATCTATCTGTCTGGGCCTCCAATTTTTCAAACCAGAGCATGAAACAATAGGTTTCATTGTGCCATTTTGGAACACAATTTGATTTTATTGCATTTCTTCTTCCCTATACCCCAACTCCACCACGTATGTCCACTGCAGTGGTCCTTTTCTACTTTCATGTCACACATTTTATTTTATCTTTAATCACTTCCTCAAATCACTTTTTCTGCTCTTGTGGTCTCATTTCGTGTCATATATATATAAATTAAAAACCATCATCCGTATTGAGATACAAAATCAATCTCTGAGTCATCTCACCTAATATAATAATTTAAAGATCTATTCATTGTCCTGCAAGTTTCATTTCTCTTTATGACTGAATAAAATTCTATTTTGTGAATGTACTATGTTTTCATATCAATTCATCACCTGACAGGCATCTAGTCTGATTGTGTTCCCTTGATATGATGAATAAAACAGGAACAACTATTGATGTCCAAGTATCTCTGACATAGGACAACAGTCCTTTAGGTATACGCCCAGGTGTCATAGAGCTAGCTCATCATATTCTACTTGGAGTTCTCTAAAATGTAAAAACATTTCTCTGCAGGGTGATTTCCTTGAATAAAGACCTAGTAGAGTCTCCCAATTGATGCATGTGTACTCTGTGGGACACAGTGAGGAAAAAAATGTTGCTTACAGTGGGTTACACATAGACATTCCACCAAGATATCTCTTTTCCAGTAAGATATTAAGGCTAAAACTTTCATAAATACACAAGAGGAGAAATATGGTCACTTAAACACTTAGTTGCACACATACACTTCCAGGGTATTAATAGGGCTATTTCATATAAATTCTAAAGAACAATTTTCATTTTCTGAATTTTGGTGATTGTTAAACTCCCAACAGTAAAGAGCAATTTCAAAGGAAAATTTGGGAGGCTTTAACAAAGTTGAAGTCAATCTATAAATATACCAGGACAGAGAGAAAGGATGAGCAAAAAAATCTTTATGATGTCTAAATTTCTCTAATACAGTAGGAGAAATGAAAGATTAATGACAAAATTTATCATTACATTAGGGCTGGAGAGAAAGTTAAGAGCACTGACTACTCTTGCAAAGGACCCGGGTTCAATTCCCAGCATCCACATGGTGGCAATGAACCATTGTAACTCCAGTTCCTGGGGAATCCAAAGCACTCTTCTGACCTCTGTGGCATTGCACAACATGGGTGCACTCACATATATACAGGCAATACACTCATACACATTAAACAAAAATAATAAATAAAATATTTTTAAAAATTATCATTACATCAATATATGCTCAAATTTATTTATTAGTGTTTTTTCTAGTTATTTTTACTTAGGGATTAACTGGATATATAATAAATGTACATGATTGAAATCAATTTTAGGGTAATATATTATAATACTACACAGAGCTAAATATTTTACCAGGCTATTTCCTTTTTAACCCTGTTCAGATGGTAAAATACCATAGTAAAATAAAAATATGAATTTATAATGTATTATTACTGAAAAAAGCAACTACTTACCTTATATCAGAAAGAGCACTCAAATTTTATTTGCCAAAACTTTACATAACTTATGTTTACATGAAAAGTACTTTTGTTCCTCTATATTATAACCATTTTGAATACATTTAATTTATACAAGTGAATAATCAATTCTAAATCAATTGAATAGAAATCTAGGGATTCTTAAATTTAATGAGTTATTCTATCTCAATATAAGACAGTATCATATTTTTAAAGAAAGTATCATTTATACATGATACAAACAAGCATAAATAAACATGCACACAAATGGAGCTCTACTGTCCTTCATTCTAAAATTTTGGCCATAAGTGACTCAGCACAGCAATGAAACCTCAGTTCCACATCATATTTCATCCAAATTTTAGGACAAGTTGGGGTTACTTGCTCAACAAAAGGTTTGAAGCAGTATTTGTGAAGAAGGCTTTTTAACATTTTCCCATCTCCTCATCTGGAAGGCTAATTCTATGGAGGCTATGGCTTACATTGCAAGCTGAGAAGACAGGCATCTCACAGACTTCTGGGTATTTTTTGAAGTATATTTTATATTTCATGTGTATGAGTTTATTGCCAGCATGTAAACGCACCGGTGTAGTGCAATGCATGTGGCATTTAGAAGTGGGTGAGGGTGTGGGATGCCCTGGAACTGGAGTTACTATCAATTGTGAGCTGCCACATGGGTAGTGGGAAATGAACTTGGGTCCTTAACCAGTGCTCTTAACCAATGAGTCATCTCTCCAGCTTTGCCTTCTGTGTATCTTTATCCATCTAGATGAAAAACATACTCAGTTTCCAATTATTGTTTTTTTCCTTTAAGCCTCATGTAGTGCTTTTGAAGAACCCTGAAACCTTTTGAGGGGCCTGTACAGGGGCAGAGGAACAAGTGATGATATAATCCTGGAGGCTGTAGGGGTGAGTGAAAGGTATGACCCTGTGGACAGATGGAGGAAAAGGTTAAATCTGAAGAAGAGTTTGAATGTCATCTAACCAGTGACCCGTTTTCTTTGCCTTATACAGTTCATAGTGCTTTTTCAGTAGATTTTTCCAGCAAAAAATTAAATAGAGATTTAAAACAGTCTCCTTTAAATGGAAATGAAGGGGGCTGGAGAAATGGCTCAGTGCTCCTGCAGGGGACCTGGGTTCAGTTCCCAACACCCAAATGGTGGCTAACAATGATCTGTAATTCCAGTTCCAGGTATCTGATGCCATTTCTGGCATCTACAGGTATTGCATGCACAAGCTCACTTGTATGCAGTCAAAACACACATATACATAAAAAATGAAAATAAACCCAAAGATAAAAAAGAAAATGAGATAAAAATGAAAGAAATTCAATTTGAGTATTGTTTATTGTCAAAAGCATATTTTCAAGTTGAAGCTGTGAGTATTCTGAGGAATGCAGCTTTCCTCACCCACAGCATCATTTATAGTGACTTGTGTTCAGTGTTTTAACTCACTGACGCTCTATTCAAAGCCTCCTTATCTATGCAGTGGGAACTTTTGCCCTGTACTCTTAATTATGTATTATAGAGTAATTATTAACATGGATTAATTATTCTTGTTCTGTAACAGACATGTTTATTTTTTTTGGAAAATTATTGTAATGAAATCACAAATAGAAACATCAAACATCTAGGTTAAGGCACTTCTCAAACTCTTGCCCAGTCTTTTACTCTCTCTACATAATCTCAGTGAACTTCCCTACAGTAAGAGTGGCTGTTCTGAAACCATGGAGCTTTGTTTAGGGTTTTACACTTCACTATCAATTATTTTATGCACTTATCCACCATGAAAAAGGGAAAAGTATGCCAAAGTTGAAGCTAGAATAACAATTAGCTTTATATTCTCTTTCATGATTCATTTTGAGAACATTAAGAAAATCATAAAATATATAAAGATAAAAATAAGATTTACTCATATTTTCTGGTTAGATTTTGGTTTTAGTCTGGGGATATAGTTCAGTGGTATATTTTGTGTTTTGTGTGCACAAGTTCTTGGGTTCAACTGCATCAAACACACATTAAACATAATTTGTTTTCATTCCGTTCTTTATGTATAAAACTGAATATTTGTATCAATATATACATACACACATGTGAGTTAGGATTCCAGTTTCAGTATAGTGCTATTGTCTAGCATTCAAAAGCCGTATCTCCTATCCCCATCACTCATAAACACATACAATATATGATACATATTTAGAAAACTAAAGTCCTGTTATCTAAACATTTTAATCCTATGAGAAAGCATAGTTCCAATATATTTATCATTTGCACCTCATTGTACAAGTTAATTTATATTATGCTTCACAAAATAGTTAAGCACTCTAGGTTAAAATATTTGTAATATAATATATACATAGCCTATGTTGAAAAATGATTCCTGCTTATTATACATCTAAATTACTTTCAATGCTTCTTTTATGAATAACTACTAAGTGTATTGATTTAGTATCTTAATTATTTTTCTAAGTATAATTTCCCAATAATATCTTGTAAAAAATGCTAATTTTCTTAAATATGATGATTAAATCAAAGTAAGTAGAATATTCACTTAATTAAATGTTAGTGAAACTCTCTTCTGAGAATGCTCCAAATCTTCTCTTTTTCCTATTATGAAACACACAATTAAATAAAAATATTCATTTCTTCTATTCTTGTAGTTTGTCAAATATCTATTCTTTCAAATGCACAGAAGATTTTGAGAATCTAATAATAAGACACAAGTGCTTTAGAGGAACAATTCGCATTATGAAGGATAAAAAGATATGAGCATCATTAACTAAGACTTAAATCATGTTTCAGTGACTTAGATCTAACACTACTATTCCATATTACCATGATGAGACTGCTTTTTCTACCCTTTCTTTGGTGTAGCCCTTGGGCATGTGAGGCCAGCTCTCCTCTACTGAACCACATCCCCAGCACATCCTGTATACCCTTGGTCTGTGCCTCCCTCCCACCAGCCTGTTGGCACTGTCATTCCCTTAATGTGAGTAATGTTTTGAATGAACCACTTATAGTATCACAAACATTTATAATATTTTAAATGTCTTTATCCTCAAGAGTACTATAGGTTTCTATTCTGTACTTTACCTAAAATGAAATTCAGATACCTGTGATGGAATAGACACATGAATTTTTTTTGGCAGTCTGCTTTACCTTAAGTCCTGTGACTCTCTGTCTTTGAGACAAATATTCTGAATGAATACAATATGACCACTGTCGCTGAAAATGCAAGGCAAACAGAAGCAAACAAAAGGAAATATATTTACTTTAGGCAGAGGCTTGGCAGGTTTGCAGTGGAGTCCTCCCACAAAATCAGAATTTGGTAAGGTGGGGTGAGGAAACTCCAGATCCCAGTAGGTCCGAATGAGCCACATGTCTGCTTTGCTCATTGTCTCATATATGGTAGTGGGTCTTCCTGAAAGAGAAGAAGCAAAGTGAAGCATTGAGAACTGACACATGACAGGTGAAAATGAATGTGCAGCTAATTTTCTAGAAGAACTTTTTTTTTCTTTTGGCCTTTTTGAGACAGCGTCTCCCTGTAGCTCCAGCTGACCTGGATAATGTGCAGACAATTTTCTGGAAGAACTTTTAATAATGTAGCCAGAAGTTTTTAAAACTATCTGTGCTTTGATATGACAAATATGTTTATATATATGTATGTGCTTGTGTTCATACATATTTATAGCCCATATGTTATTTATATTTCTGTTTAGAGATGTAAAGTCACAAGATGAGAGGCTTGTGAGAAGAGACCACAACTGCAACTCACCAGTGTATTTCATAATTACTAAGTATCTCTATGTCATTGAAAGTATAAACCAATACTTGAATCCTATTATGTATGAATCCTGTCTGACTTAGCCTTGGAAACACCTTTCTATAGAATACTCCATCTAGTTTTCCCTGTGCAGAAGCTGGATACTTGAGGATTCATTTTAAGTGAACTGAGAGTTTTGTGTGTTTTATTTTGAGATAGTCTCATGGAGCCCAGAGTGGTCTTGGAACTCACTATGTAGCCAAAGCTGACTTTGAACTCTTGATCCTCTTCCCTCCACATCATAAGTGCTAGGATCACATGTGTATGTCATGACACCCACTATTTTTGAGGGTCTTGTTTTTCATTTTCCTTTTGAGACAAGGTCTCATCCTGTAGCCCTGGCTGATCTCAAAGAGGAACTTCTGGGTATGCCTGCAAGCCTTGTCCTCCTACTGCATCTGATTCACATTGTTTGCAGTAATTAGGATATACGTGTATGTTTGCAAATGGTAAAATAGGTAAAGAGAGATGTTTATTCACTCTAACTTTTTTTTATTAAAAAAGAGATGACAACATTTAAAACATCATAAAACATTATGAAAATGCCCATACTTCAGCATTCTATAATATTAAACAGTATTTTTAACCCTTACCAAATTAATATGGATTTTCTGAAATCCTGAATTTATGACTTTGCTGTTACTAGGATTGAAACAGTGCATGTCACAACTGTGAAGAGATTCGTTAGTGAAGTGATAAAAGATTTCAATTTTTAAATGAGAAAAGTAATCTATGTAAGGGGGAAATATACTTGGTGATATAATATATAGATGTTTGTGTTAGAAATATATGTTAAGTCCTCTATCTACATGGCTATCATCCTGTAGACACTGAGTGGATTTGAATCTACTCTTTTAGGGGTCAGCCAGATGGCTCAGCAGGCAAAAGCATTTGCTGTGCAAGGGTGCTACCTGAGTTCAATCTCTGTAACCAGTGTGAAGTTTTAAGTCAAGAGCCAACTCCACAAATTGGTCCTATCCTCCTCAGGTGCCTCCCCTGACACACATACCCTCCCAAGTCATGCACACATAATAATAATGATAAATAATAATAATAATGTAGTCAGGTAAAATTACTGATTTGATTGGTGAGATACAATGGCTAATATTGTTCCTATGTAATTGCTAAGAGAAATTCTCACATTTTGTTTTGTCAGTGTGTGCTTTTCTGGAGTGTTCTATGCAAGTGATAGCCAAGGCTTTCTATTGACAAATGCATCATAGTCTTTTCTGCAATACTTCGAGTTTTGAAGATAACTTCATACTTTTATTTAAACAATGTACTCCTAAAAGATAAGCCCTGGTTTTCTATTCTATCATGTTCACCTTCAGCTAGATGGCAGATTTAGAACTCCCCAGTAGGAACTGAAGGCAGAGAACTTCACTGTAAAACTGGTTCCACTTCTTCTCATTAAATGTTTGGAACAAAAATCAAAATAAAGAATGTAGATTACATTTTTCATCCACTCCAAGAATGTCATCCACTCACTGAGTTCTGACAGAGCAACAGGCACATAGGAAGGAGGCAGTGGGAGTCCGTCACTGTACTTTTCATGTGTGGATCCAGGAAGGAAGTGCAGAGTGAACACCAAGGGCATCTTGAGAATTTCAGCCAGCAGGTCACCACAGGGATTCAAGGCATCTGCAAGGATGACGTCAAACCTGGATTCTTGTAGCTTTGTCATAAGTTCCTTGTTCAAAATTGCATCTTTACAGAGATTCTCACAAAAATTTGAATTCATCCAAATCATTTGTTGCATCATTGAAAAATATGTCAAAAATGATTGCTTTGGCAGTTCATAAATCAGTAGCCTGAGTGATTCAATGAAAAGATTCTTGAGGTCAAAGTAGGAAAAATTGCAAATTAATGCCAGATGTCTTGTCAACATGGAGAGAGAAGGAAATGGAAGGTTTCATAACAGTCACTTCATCACCCTTCTTCACAAGTTCATCTTGGATTGTCCTTAAATTTTACCAGTGGCTGAATTCCACTGGCCACACCAGCACCTTTCCAAAGCTCCCAGAACCGAAGAAACCGCTCAGCCGCAGTAGCAGTAAAACTGCAATCATTTTAACAGCCACCTTGGTTAAATTGAAGGTTTCTCTCAAATGGTATGGCTCTGCTCCTGCTGAAGTTGAAAAAGAAACATTGATTAAACTATAACTTGTGAACACCAAAGTAAACACACATAGAACAGTCATGGTCTCTGGATGCCAAGTGCAAAAATAAAAAGGCAGATATAGATGCGATGAATGACTCTGGATCCTCAGTAGCCCACATGTGTTGTGCACTCATGATGAGCAGATTAAACTGTGAGAGTTTCTTTCTTTTTAAAAATATAGCTTTCTTAGTTCAGAACCTAAACTAAAAACATAATTGCTGAATATGATTTTTTATATCACAGATCACAGTTCAGTGACTTCTTCTATCATACGAATGTTGACATTAATCATATCCAATTCAACAATTATATATATATATATATATATATATATGTAATTTGGCAGTCCTCTCATAATGGCTATTTACTGCACTTGATTTTA